GGAAAAAAATCATCATTTTAGCATGTACTCTTCCATTGGGGGGGGGGTGTTAGCAAAAAGAGTATGGTTTGTACTCTTGTGGAAATGATGAAAATAATGGATGACCCCCTAAAATGATTTCAATTCACCTGTTATAACTGATAAGAGTGTTACAAAGCTCTCAGCACACTGTGGCACTTTTAAATCATCAACATCACTTATGTCTCTGTATTGACAACTCCATGCCCCATTGTCACTCAGCAAGTTGTCTATCTTCTCAAGAGCAACTGCAAATATAAAAAGGTAGGCAAGTCATGACCAAATTTTAAGAAACTTTGAGAATGAATTGAGTAAATAAAGTGGTATATAAGAAACACCAAAATGCTACAATGTTAACTGGATGCCACATGCTTGATATGCAACTGTACGCATATTATTATTATTGTTATTGTCAACTCACCATGCAAACCTCTAAGACATATTTCTAATGTTGTTAATGTTCTTTTAAGTGCCACTGTCTATTAATAATAAAACAGAACTTGAAATATACCATCTAGCATCCTATTCTCAGGCACAGTGACTCTTGACGAAAAGAAAAAGTATTTAATATTGATATTGGTAGGTGTATGTACTTATACCTATAAAGGTTATTATCCAAGACAAACCTAGTGTTCTGGGTTTCTAATAATAAGCCCAAAACTGTTGTGATTGTAATTCAGTTACTGTGAAATTGCCCTAATACTTAATAAATACTTACAATTCCTTTCAATTGCAAGCCATCGTTGAAAGCAGTCATTTTGAGTAAGAACATGAATACAGTTTGGCTGCCAAGCTGGATATCCGTGATTAAAACGAAGTTCAGCTTCAAATGACAGAAGTTCATCAATAAAATGAGATAACAGGTGGTCATCATATATGAGTTCAGGAATATCATGTTCCGCTTTGGCTACAACTGCTTGAATTAGTCCACGACAGAACTCAATCTAAAGAGCAAGCATGTTGAAATTTACACTCAGTTAAATTATTGAGGAGATAGACAACTTGTACAGCACAACAGAGGTGAACACAACTCAGCCATCAAATGCAAGCATTAGAAGTTTTTATCAAAACATAATGTTTCATAATTATGAAGGTAAACAAATAAATATAACAATCAATATGGTTGACAAATACGCACCTTAGCAGATATGTGAGCAATTTGTTCCCTATTTAATATTGGCTGAATCTGAGTATCAAGAAAATCACCATGATCACGTATCCAGCTCAGTACTTGTGTAAAATAGAATTCAGGCTAAAAAGAAATATAGGTGATGTCATAAAGCAGGGGAAGGTTCTGGATTAACTTCCCAGTAAACATTCAATACCTCGACTTCCAGGTTGAGAGCCCCACCACAACCACTTCCATTTGAGGGTACAGTATATGGATTTAATACACCCAGGATTATATCTTGGTACCTGGTACAATAATAATATTAGTAGTGCTACACAACTAGGAATACTACCAAGGAGTGGAGGAGAAATAAAAACATGAATGGACTTTAACCTTTACTATATCTGTTATCATCACTGTAAACATCATTCATCATTACAATCATTATTAACCATATTTTTTATAATCAAGTTATTTTGTAATGGCAACTAACCTTTTCTGGATTATTTGTTTGTTTCTTTCCATAAAAATGAAATCGGAATCTCTTCTTGAGAGGTTTGAGAAGCAATTGGATGGGAAGAATAATTGTTTTGTGTCCAGCTGGAGACTCAGAATTAATCAACTCAATCTCAAGTTCTTCACTGTAACATATTAAGGAAAATACACAAATGTATCATATTTGCTATGTTGGACAATACCAAATGATAAAAGGCTAAAAACTTAATATCATGCTTTATTATTGTACAAATAAAGGATACGGTAATTGCAACTTTAAAAGCTGTGTACATAATGTGTCCAATTTGCTTTGCAGATCTTCTTTGGCTGCTGTACTCGGTGGAAGTGATGTTACCTTGGAAACAATAGGCAACCCCATAGCCGTCAAAACATCTTCAAATTCACTGACAAAATAAAAATATAATTTAGATGTAAGAGAAGGATGCAATGATGAAATATTGCGTTCTGATCGGAAAAAGGATTCGTTGAGTATAAATTTTATTTTATTTATTTATTTTTTATTTATATTTATTTTTATTTTTATTTTATATATTTATTTTTTATGAAGTGGACCTATTAGTATTACTATTGTTACTCCATTATTAGTTACTTTCAAGGTATAAAATAATAAGCAATAACAAATTACTGATAGTCCATACAAACTATGAGATGAAAATGACGTTGTGCAGTATGTTTTTTTTATTTTATTTAAAAAAAATTAAAATTTAAAAAAAATTCATAATAACTCAACGTGTTATGAGTAAACTTATATCGCATTAGCGTACAATGATGAAAAGTAATATATTTTTATATAAAAATGGAAAAGGGAGGAAAAAAAATTAAGGGATATACTGGTCAAATAAAATCTATATTAGTAATGCCTAAACTTTGAAATCATGTTAATATCAGAGAATTATGCTTAAATTTATTTTTTAAATTTTCATATAACATACATTGATCAACTTAATTTGCATATCTTATTGTATATAAGTATCAAGAGAAGTTTAAAAAATAAGAAAATCAAGAAAAAAGGTGAAATATCAAAAAGGCTGTAATGCAGAATGTCTGTAATTCAAATAACTTGATGTATTGATGAATAAAAGTGGTGGTTGTTATACCACAAAAGAGAAAAAAAAAGTTTAGTTCCAAAATCAGGCCAATTTTAAGGGATATACTGGTCAAATAAAATCTATAATAATAATGGTTACAATTGGTTAATGCCTAAACTTTGAAATCATGTTAATATCATAGAATTATGCTTAAATTTATTTTTTAAATTTTCATATAACATACATTGATCGACTTATTTGCATATTTTATTGTATATATAAGTATCAAGAGAAGTTTAAAAAATAAGAAAATCAAGAAAAAAGGTGAAAAAGACTGTAACGCAGAATGTCTGTAATTCAAATAACTTGATGTATTGATGAATAAAAGTGGTGGTTGTTATACCACAAAAGATAAAAAAAAAAGTTTAATCCCAAAATCAGGCCAATTTGTATTTTGTTTAGTTCTTTTTTTCTTCTTTTTTGTGGGGTGGTGGGAGTGGCGGCAGTATGGGGTTATATATAACAAAATTTTGCCAGAAAGAAAGAAAGAAACTGCTAAGAAACAGATATAATATATTTATACATTGAGCTACCCAGTATACCAGAGTCAGCTACTCATCATCTGTCCACACCAAGGACTGTATGGATACAGTAATGCATATCAATGGATATATAATGGATGGATCAACAAGTGCATGGATGGATACAGTAATGCATATCAATGGATATATAATGGATGGATCAACAAGTGCATGGATGGATACAGTAATGCATATCAATGGATATATAATGGATGGATCAACAAGTGCATGGATGAATTGCACAGGTGTAAGAATATATTGATGGGTGACGGTATGCATTAAAACACTTACCTTGAAAGCTTTTCTTTCAATATATTGAACCAAAAAAATATTGTAGAATGAATAAATTGTGTTAGATTGTAGCACTTTGAGTTTTGCAATATTTTGCTAATTTCAACCAAGGTCACAAAATGATTGACAGCACTTGGCATGGCACCTGCAGTTATTGACTGTTGAACTTTGGCACTGTGAAACTGGAATGGAGTTGTATTCACCAACAATGCTCCTTGAATCTCAGAACTAAGATAAAAAAGAATTATAAAGTTTATAATCAAAATAATTGACTACTATTGAATCAAATTAATAATGCATATGGCTCCATCACGCAGTGGTGGGTCGAATCAGAAGAGGTACAGGGAGGGACCTTTAGAGGTGAGTAGGTAGACCACTTCAGCACCACCATGATTGGGGCTGAAGGATGAAATTATATTTTGGCTGAATGGCTGGAAACGGTACTCTCAATCCTAATATCCTTGAATATATATAGTTTTCATTTTTTCTCAATTTCTAGAATTTGGGGGAAGGAATCCACCTATATCATATATTAACTAACCTTAAATTATTAACAAGAGCCAACCACTTCATATATTGCATACATTTCTCTAGATCTTTCACTTTCTTCAGCATACTTGTCAGAGTATCCATCAATGGCAAACATTTTTCTAAATGGCTCACAACATCTTCCTTAACTTGCAAATGCTGTTGTGCCAACACTTCAACATGTTCCTTGGCTATACTTGCATCTTGCAACACTTTTTGGATTTTGGAAGGTGTCTCTTGATTTGCAGATGATACCTTGAAAAAATATAAAAAACATTCAATTGCAATCTTAAGTTAGCATTGGTAAGATCTGGAGACATCTGGAACCCCACTCACAATATAATAATTTAAAACTCAAAAGATTTGCAAGCTTGAACATTACTCAGAGAATATGTAAGAAAAATGAAATAGGAAGAAAACAAAACATACTGAAAAATAAAATCAATAAGCCACATCAGCTTATATACAACCATTAGTACATGTATGTTTAATGATACAGGTGTTTATCATTTATCCAGTATAAGCCAGGGTCCACATTTTTCGCGCCACACCTTTAGGCTGATACGATCAAGAGGAAACAGTCATTAAGAAACTGTAGGTTGCGGTAGCTTTTACTACGAAGGAATGGGAATTCCAAACTAATGAATGCGCACACACAGTTACCTAAGAACGTCCGTGAAATATGTATAAAAACACAGTGAGCATGCGCTTGGAAATGCTAGAGAGCCAGTGAGCATGTGCAATGAGTAAGTGACTTTGTCGAGCCATGTCGAGCATGCACAGTTACCAAAAAGATGTCTCAGGAACCAAACAGTGTCTGCGAAGAGGGTATGAAATAGAAATGGTAAAATTCAAACTTTTATTATGCAATTAAGCATAAACGTTTCAAGCTGAAACGCAATCATGCATGGTTACGAACATTTTAAATAATGAGAATTCAAGTCGAAAAATATTTGCTTTTGAAGGCCTAAAGTGGATTAAATTGGATTTAATCCTCAGGGAGAATTGAAAAAAATTATCGCAAACAACAGTTTATTTGGCTCTATCATCATACGTATGCATGCATTGACAATCCAATAAAAAATAACCACAGAAACTGACGACACAACCTAGGCTAGGTCTCTAGCCAAGTAGTATGGGCAAGCCTAGGCTAAGTCGCATTGTTTCGAAAGGTACGGTGCTTTACGCTGAAGAAGGATAGTGTACATGCTCTTTGTCGTATGCATCCATTATTGACAATCCAAAAAAAATAGCCACGAAGAAACTCAGAGCAGTAGGTCTAGCTAGGTGGGAAGGGGCCCCCTAACTCAGAGCAGTAGGTCTAGCTAGGTGGGAAGGGGCCCCCTAGCCAGTCTAAAGCTGAAGCATAAAAATTGGCTATCATGGATTATCTAGAACTCGTCCAACCAGGATAATAAAAATAATAAAATATATTTTTAATATTGAATACAAATAAATAATATAAAATATTAAAAAATAATATCATCATTAATAATAATAACAACAATTTTTCCTATAGGACTTTTGATAAGGGTCATATTCTCAAGTTAATAATTTGTATGTTACTGCAAAATGAGTAATTTAATTACAAAAATAATTTTATGATTTTTTAGTCATTTTCAAGGGAGATCATCCTATTTTTATACCTTCCTGTATGAATATAGGCCTCTGCCTCTCTCCCAGCTGAGAAGCCTAAAAGAGCTTTAGTCTTACTCATAATACTAACCACTGAATACTTTGGTTCCTTTTGGATACTTGTTATTATATTCACCTTCTGAAGCAACATGAAAAAGGAAATCATAAAACGAATCTGCAATTGGTCTGATGGCTACCAGAGAGACTTTGCAAAGAACAGTGCTAACTATATCATAACTCTCCTCACAGAGTCTGATATATAGGCCTATCATTATACAGCTCATCTGTGTGACTTGGTTCTACACTGCCAAGCTCAGTAGACTCTTCTCTGAGAATAATTGAGCAAAAGCTAGCACAGACCAACCATCATGATGGGGAATTACAATATAAAATACATTTAATTGAAGGCATGGCAGTTATATATAACAATTCAAGTTTCGCTGCTAATTCAAAATACTGTACTTGCATTAATGTATAATTTATTTTAAAATTATTTAATGAATTATATTATTCCAATACATTTGTAAATTATAGCTGTATTATTTAGCTGTAAGACTAAAATCAAATCTGTAGTCCCTACAGAAGCAAAGTTGTGCAAGTTTAACAGCTAATTTGCATAACCCACAGCCAGATGTGCTGCACAGTCGATCTGGGGTGCCTGGCAAGATTAAGGCACTCGAAGGCTAGAGCTACACTAAGAAGCATGTACTGCTATTGAATGCCAGTCAATTAGAGCCAATGCCAGTTCGAGAGGATGCCAGTTCGAGCGAATGCATTTAGTGCGAACTATAACAAGGGCAACTTTATTGGAGGGGTAGGGGATGGGATTATACCCGGGGATTCCCTGTGATTCAATGGCCTATCCAAAACTAGACCTAGGCCCTATATCCCGGTGAAAAAAATCAGACATTACTCGAGCATCAAAGGGAAGGGAACAAATTATAGTTAGTGGGCATAGGCACCTAGGCTTTAGTCTTTACCTCAATCTAAGCCAGCCTTTGCCTAAACCTTCTTTCTTGATGTCGTAGGTTAGTTTTTGCTCAACAACAACCAATCCAACCAAACACACCCATCACAAGGAAGACCACCCACTTGTAATGCATGATGTAACAAGTTATTTTCTGCAGTGATAGTCTCTCTGGAACATGTTAGTCTTCATGCTGTGAATCAATGATCCGGTCAACCCACTGGGCGGGTCTCTTTAGGGACGGACTATAGTGCTGTCTATTTTTAGCCGCAGCTGTGGAACACACAAGTCTTCATGCTGTGAATTAACTATCCGATCAGCCCACTAGGCGGGTCTCTTTAGGGACGGACTGCGGTGTTGTCCTTTTTAAGCCGCAGTTAGTATTTTTAGCGACGGTAAACAATAAGTTTAAAGAATGGGCTTTGCATTTTCAACTTTACGGTGATCCCAATGTCTGATCTAATCAATTGGAAGAGTTTGAAGTCTGCCGAATTCAAAACCAATTCCTTTATATTTTGTGAGCATTTGTTCTTTGCAAAGTTGTTTTTATGCAGTTACAGATAAAATAAATGATGCGACAAAACAAAATAAATAAATATATATTTGAAAAAAACTTCCTGCATCAATATTTCCAAAATTTTTGATGTGGGCAAAGTTATAATAATATATTTTTCTATTTGCCCTAAATTTCTGAAATGTTTTTGGTACTTTTGATAATTATTCCATGTTCGGATTACAGTCTTAGCAGATCTGACTACCAGATGGCTGCTAACAAGAACTTAGGCCTATATTTTAAAATTACTGAATTGCGCACTTTTCATTTTGAATTTACGGTTTTTGTCTCTAGTTGGGGCTTTGTATTTAAAAAAACAAATTACTTTGTAATTGAATTACGTTGTGATTGTATTTATAGGCCCTAAATTTACAATTTAAATTTGTAAATGGGAGTAACTGTAATTGATATTCACCATAGAAATTTAAATTATATTTACATAATCTAGGTGTCGCTGAAGGTGCACAAACCATTTGTGACTAGACTATCAACAGTATAGTAATAATGACATCATATCAATTTTTTGGAAAGAATAACAATTACGAATGACTAAGATAAAATAAATCATTATTTTTATGAACGTAATTATGTTTAATTTTAAATTGTTAACCTAAAACCAATTAAATACGACTTCCCCACTATTTCAGCGAGTGGAAAGAATAACAATTACGAATGACTAAGATAAAATAAATCATTATTTTTATGAACGTAGTTATGTTTGATTTTAAATTGTTAGCCTAAAATCAATTAAATACGAATTCTATACATAGGCAGGCTTCTCCCCCGGAACCCACCAGGGCTTTCCCCTTGCTCCCAGGCAAAGCTTGAGCCTTGGTTGAATGCAAATTGTTAGCTCAAAATAGGAAATTTTTAAGTAATTAATACATAAAAATCGGACAAGGCTTTTGTTTGCATAAGTGGATCTCTTTCCACTCAAACTAGCATTAGCTCAAAGTAAATCCGCTCGAACTGGCATATTCGCTTGAAGTAGCATAGGCTTGACTCGTGTCCCTGCTACCTATGGACTGTACAAGGTACAATAAACGGTGTAGCTTCCTCAAGGTTTGTGGTAATTAATGCTACGCGGGAGCCACATGACATAAAGTTAAAGTCCTCTATTATATTTAATGCCGTGGCTAGAGATACAGTACCATATTCCTACTTCAAATTGCTAAAAGTACGGTAAATGGCATTACGTCACCATCACCCAATGAAGAGCCAGAATGTGCATGACATAATCTTTCAAGACTGTCATTGGAGATCACTGACGATGAGCGGTGAAACGCGAACGATGTATTGGGTACTTATTATTATGTCATCGATAAATAGGTGTGTGGTTCCATTCAGTAAGAGTCATGCCATATCTGCCATTATCAAACAAGGACTGAATCCTGTACCAAACTCTTGACATATGCCACTAGGACTTGCTTAGATTCTTCGCTTGGTGGCAGCCCTGCTGTAGTGACAGATTGATCTGGGTGGCAAGAGTCATAAACTAATTCCTCCACAGTCAAGTTCTCAACCCCCAAAATATCGTTCTAAGTTTTAGTCCAAGAAGCCTAGGTTATAATATATTCAAAATTACCACGCTTTACAATCCGACCAACATATTCATAAACTTCGAATGCAACCGATACCTCCTTGATTTACCCAACTTAACATAGACTTCGTCACTGTTGTGGTACTTTTCCAAATCGAAACGTCGTTTGTTTGGCCAGAATTTAGATCGAGAGAATGAGTTTCCACAATCATGATTATTAGTGTCAAATATGGAAATGCTAGATAAAAATCTACACGAAAGATAATATCTCTGCTCAAAAGTGTAGTCACAGTCGCATTCGATGTACAAATATGAATAGCTGTCGATATGTATAACTGTCAATAGATAAGCAAATAAGCTTTAAGTGAGCTAGGCTCAGTTCAAGAGAAATGAGTGACCAGTCATAAGGCCACTTGGTGTTATAATGATATGCTTCAGTAGTGGTCACTTAACATCAATAAGCCTAGCTTTTAAGGGCACATAGAAAAAAATGTTAGATTATCAGTCTTTTTTAAAAAGAAATTGATGAGGGAGGGCGCTTTTAAAAAAAAATCAGAACAATAGATTATTTCACTTTTGTTTTTATCGATGAGGGAGGGAGTGTTTATATTTGGTCTGCAATAGTAAATATTGTATAAAAACTGGTTCAATTTTATAGTTTTTTAAAGAAAATGTATTTGAAGTCACAAAATTGCATTGTTATTTTAATGCTGTTGAAATAATTGATGCGGCAAAAAAATTTTTTTTCTTTTATTCCTGCATCAATATTTTCCGAATTTTTGATGCGGGCGGGAGTGATAATCTAATAAATTTTTCTATTTGCCCTAAAAGGCAGATTGATAGGAGACTTGACGAAATATGCGATCAAAAATATGATAATCTGTTTCGCCAAATACTTCTAGATATCAGGAGTCAAAATTACGGGTTTAGATATAAAATAACGAGACAATTTTCAGAGTAAATTTGTACAACAGTTCTTCCTACAAACGCCCTCTATCTTACATGATAAGAGCGAAAATTACCAACCATTATGGAACGCCGTTACTGCCTTTGGTGGCTCTTTTCTGTTCGGCGCATTTGCTATTCGGCCCTTTTAACATTACGTTCGGTGCTTTTGCATTACGTTCGATGCTTTTACATTACGTTCGGTGCTTATTACATTACGTTCGATGCTTTTTACATTACGTTCGGTGCTTTTAACATTACGTTCGGTGCTTTTACATTATGTTCGGTGCTTTTTACCTTACGTTCGGTGCTTTTAACATTACGTTCGGTACTTTTAACATTACGTTCGGTGCTTTTAACATTACGTTCGGTGCTTTTAACATTACGTTCGGTGCTTTTGCCGCACTTCGGCTCTTTTGTCATTTGATGCTTTTACCTTTCGGACCTTTTATCATTACGTACGGTTCTTTTATCATTCGGTGCTTTCATGAACTTTGACATCAGGTCAAGTGGAAAAAAATCAACGGCTGTGAGAATGAGCCTAGTGGAAAATCGCGCGTAACAAAGCATATTCGATATGTGATTATCTTAGTGATAAAATTAATAACTAACGAAAACAAAAATGTCTCGATCAATCAAAACAGTATTAGAAGACCTGGATCTACATTTTCTTGTCCCTAAGTTTGAAAGGGAAAGTGTACATTCTAGTTTTATTCCACATAATTTTGGTGGTATTTTAGGGCAAATAGAAATATAAGATTATCACTATATACCTAGTATTGAAAACAAAAATAACTCGGGGAGGACTCTTCTTTATTCCGGATATGAAGAAGCAGGCTTATTCAAATAAAAGAAACGTAATTAATTAATTAATTAATTAATTAATTAATTAATTAATTACCGGTAACCAAACGATTCCTAACAAGTCCGATCCCATTTTTGGCTTACATAATAAATAAAAGTTAAACTCAAAATTCCCCTTTACAGTTGATTGATTTATTTTCCCCTCCCTTTACTGTCCGGTCGTTTTACAAATGCTCCCTCCGTGGTTATCTCGTATTTTGATATTGGTATTTATTTTTTTGTCTTTTTATTTTGTCTACCTTTTTAATATTATATAATATATATTTTATTCTTACTTCTTAATTCATACGCAATTCAGCCTTTGTTGCTGCTATGTATGTTTTTGATGTTGAATTTTTAATAAATAATATACCTCAAATAAATAATAAAAACTTAGCATTTATACAGTATTACAACAAAGATACACATTTTCAGGGGTCCCAAGTTGGAAAAAGGCAATTCGTGAAGCAGGGGTGGAGCCAGTGCAGTGGGAGGGTACAGGGAGAACACCCATCTCTTAGGGAGAATATCCACAATTTCACATTTATAACTCCCAATCTACGGCCAATTTGTTTCCGTCTTGCGGGCATCTGATACCATTTTAATTATTATTTAGGGCCTCCCACATTGTATATTTGCCTTTACAGCATTATTATTATTATTATTATTATTATTATTATTATTATTATTATTATTATATATATATATATATATATTATATGAAGAATGCGTGCACACCTGTGTTTCAAAACATGAATATAATATAGCGTAACAGTAATGAAACTAAGAAGTTGACTTTAGAAACACTAAAATTTAAGATTCTGGATAATATAATATTAAAAAGGCAAATGGGAAAACCCAACAGCAAACGGCCATATAATGCAAAACAATTTAAAATTAAATCGGAACAGTTGACTTGGCAATTGTCTTTCCTCGCTTGTCAACGATCGACGGCACGAAGAAAGAGAGAAGGAGCACGCAAGTTCCACTAGGCTCGTTCCCATACCAGTTGATTATTTCCACTTGACCCCATGTCAAAGGTCATGAAAGCACCGAATGATAAAAGAACCGTACGTAATGATAAAAGGGCCGAAAGGTAAAACTAAAAAGCACCAAATGATAAAAGATCCGTAAGTGTGGCAAAAGCACCGAACGTAATGATAAAAGCACCGAATGTAATGTTAATAAAAGCACCGAATGTAATGTTAATAAAAGCACCGAACGTAAAGTAAAAAGCACCGAACGTAATGTAAAAAGCACCGAACGTAATGTAAAAGCACCGAACGTAATGTAAAAAGCACCGAACGTAATGTAAAAAGTACCGAACGTAATGTAAAAAGCACCGAACGTAATGTAAAAGCACCGAACGTAATGTAAAAAGCACCGAACGTAATGTAAAAAGCACCGAACGTAATGTAAAAGCACCGAACGTAATGTAAAAGCACCGAACGTAATGTTAAAAGGGCCGAATAGCAAATGCGCCGATCAGAAAAGAGCCACCAAAGGCAGTAACGGCGTTCCATAAACAATTCACTTAATTTAGGCCTAGGACCTAGTCTAGACTATAAACATACAGAAAATGCAGACTATAATTTATTAAATACATACTGTAGGCCTAGGCCTAAGCTAAGTAAGCCTAATGTTATTATTACTATTAGATCAATTTTAGTAGCTAGGGCCTAGTAGTAGGGACTTGGTAGGCTAGGCCTATACCTCCTTGGCTAGGCCTACCTCAACAATTAACAATTTACCGGTACTTGATTTACTTGATTGGGTGCAGGTCAACTCAGCCACAAGTCAACTCGGCCACAGTCAACTCGGCCACAAGTCAACTCGGCCACAAAAAGTTTGTCTACAGCCAACTCGGCCACAAGTCAACTCGACCACAAGTTACCCTATTTAATGTACGGTAAATCTGTTTTTGCATCCTTTTTCTTCAATATATGATGGAAATAAAGTACACAGTATATTTTAGTAAAACAGGACCACCACACTGTCAAAAGAAATTTGAATGCTATTGCCTATGAATTAAAAAGAGTTATTTATTAATGTGTTCGTCTTCTCTTTACTCACAACATTCTACTTCAACAATAATATTAAACAACAATTGACAATAACGACAATAAATTAGTAATATTTACTTTAATATATAATTAGTCATTATGAAGATAATAAAGGTGATAACAACAACAACATTAATAGTAATATTTATTTTAACAATACTAATAGTAACAATACTAGTATGGTAATAATAACGATATTTAAATATCAATTTTAATAACTAATTAGTGATATAACGATATTGAAGGTGATAATACTAATAATAGCAATTGAAATACAACAATAATAAATTAAAGATAATGTTTATTTTTATAATAATAGTAATACTAATTAGTAATAATAATAATAATGATACTTATAACACTAGGCCTACTTAGTAGTATACAGCGCAAATTTTACAACTGTTGAGTCAGAGAGGAAAACGAGAGGGATGCTGTTTCTGTCAGCCACCGAATCCGAAATCAGATACTATACAACCTAGGCCTAGAGGGTAGGCATACTACTACTACTACTACCAAGGGTCAGGTCCTATGGCCTAGGCCTCTTTCAAGTTCCTATGCCCCAGTTTAGGCTGCCTATCTAGGCCCAAGGCTAGCTTAGGCAAAGGCTAAAACCCAGGACATCCGACACGCTGTCGTCAGGGCCTGGCTAGGCTTAGGGCCTAGACTGCAGACATAACTCAGATTAATGTTAGGCCTAGTTATGATGCATTAAATATTAATACCTAACCTGGAATGCCAATGAAGAATGTTCTTCTTTTGCATATTTAAGAAGCTCGTGGGCTTTATCTAAAGACTTGATATCGTCTCCAAAGCAAGAATTAACAAATTCTGACACGTTAGTCTCGCTCTCCATTTTCCAATGTTGTGATGGATGATTGATTTTAATGTGCCCTTTGACCCTAATTCGGGGCCCAACTAACTTGGGGAAC